GTATTGACTTTGAATTCTGATTGGTCCGTCAGGTTGTTTATAGCTGTCGTGATTGGCCAGTGTTGTAAACAACCTCGTTTCCAGGGTATCTCTTTTTCCGGTCCCCTTGAAGGAAGTTGCGTCATTTACTTTGTATTTCTTTTACTACCACTCGGTGGAGAACCACTCTAACTTGGTCATTATTTTTGCAGGAGAATTCAATGAACTGGTTCGAGAAAAAGACCTGCTTTCTTTGGAGAGAAAGTGTGAACATCACGCCACCGAAACGGCTATAAATAACGCCCGGGAAATGCAGAAACAAGCCGCTAAAAGTGCGAAGGATGCTGGAAAAAATAAAGGTATATTTTTCATTGAAAGTTGTAAGCTGGACTAGAAGCTAAAGACCAGGGAGGATTGTTGGGGCGGGAGGGGAAGTTTGATGAAGAACATGACAAATGGAAAAGTTTCAATATTGCCGGAGCTTCGTGTATCCTGTTAGACATCGCAGGAAAAGTAACCGGGTTATGTCATAAACGCCGTATTTTAATACGAATAAGTCGACCAAAAGGTGAGCAAATTAGCCTCCAGTACCAGTTTACTACCTCAAGTTATTGCCTCCACAGTCGTGCATTGAGTAATGGTATTTTTTTTTCTATTACAGTGGAGCTCAACGCAGTTACAGAAGATAATAAGGTCTTAAAACAGAGGATACAGATCTTAGGAAGCGAGCTGAAAAAGTGAGTTCGAGAACCTTGCATTTTTGCTAACATCACCCTTAAGTGCTCCAAGTTACATCCATAGTTTCAATCGTGTTATGTTACTAAAATGAGACTTGTTGCTTTTGGGCTTCATTTCTGAGAAGCCGTTTTGATACAGCTTAGCTCTTTCGTACCCATTCGGCTTCACTCTTTTCTGTGGAAAAAAAAAGTTACCCGAAGAACTTGACACGAGAACATCTTGTTTCTCCCCGTCTGTTATTTGTTCTCTTCTGCTTTTGTTGTTGGTGATGATGCCGTCGTTGATGTAAAGAATATCTTTATTTATGGTAATTTCACTAAATTTTTTCGTTCTGTTTTTTCCCCGTTCAGATATCGCAGGGAAAACAACCGTTTAACCTCTGATCAAACTCGGCTTCAGGCCACCTACCGGGAAATGGAAAACCAGAGCAAAATTTTAAGTGAAAAGATCGCCCGACAACAGGTTTGTAGATGCTGCAAAACTCGCTCATAATTCGCCATCGTAGTTTTGTGCAGTGTACTAGCTTGTGTTATTTTTGTGTCGCAGACAACGTTGCAAGGCAAAATCGAAAGAGAAATAACTGAGAAAAAACTCACAGAAGATCAGGTAAACAACCAACGAAGCTACAACTGGATTTTTCCTAACACGCTAACAGTGTTCAAATGTTTTAACTGGTTTTCTAACGAATGTGTTTGTCGCTTTCAGCCGCAAAGTGTTTTTCCCGCCCTTTACATTTTACGTGCGTCTTCCGGCCCCACGTTCTTCCCGCCCATTTGCAGTGAATCCTGCCAAAATTTACCGGTTACTAGGCTTTTGTACATTATGCTTTTGCTTCCCCACTAAAATGCTCCACCTTAATGCTCCACTTTTCCCACTAAAATGCTCGGTCTCCCCAAAAAAGTCACTAAAATGCTCGGATAATGCTCATTATACAAACGGTTTTTTAAACTAATTTCAAAGTTTACACTTACAAAAACGTGCAAGTGTTGCAAGTAACAACGAGAACATGTACAAGTTCATAAATACAGCCAAAAAAACCCCAGCTGTATTAGGTTTTTTGTGAATTTTGAGTTTAAGTCTTCATTTTCTTTAAAAACGCAGGAGCTCATGGGGCATGGGCTCCTGAAAAAAGTTAATTTCTATGTTATTTTCTCGGAAAAATTAATTTTCCGGGGAAAATGCCACTAAAATGCTCGAATAATGCTCAATGCTTTTGCCGCACTAAAATGCTCGAAAAAATGCTAGCACAATGTACAAAAGCCTACCGGTTACCGAAACCAGATTTCTCCGCCCTAGGCTGCTAACAACCTTTTGTTTCGTAAGAAATAAAACTTTTTCTCTTTCTTGTAATTCAGGCTAGTGCACTCGAAGAAAGACTTCAAGAAACGGAAACTAAACTAAAGACGTCTAGAGAGGAAGCACAAGATCAAATTCAACGACTCAATGATGCTAATTCTCAGCTGGTGAGTCTCTAATCTCGTACCCATATCTCTTGTGACGGTGTGATCTGGTCAAGTGAGAAAATTCCATTTTTTTTTTTTATTGGCTACTTAAACTGCCTATATTTTGAGGTATTGACGTGGGCAAGCTATGGCGTGTGCAATTCATATTTTGCAAAGCCTCCAGTTTTGTTCAAACAAGGGTTCTCGCTAAATAAGTAAACTGAGGCAGTTTTCCCTCTTGTTATAGATTGTTAAAACCTTTTTATCTTATCCTTTTAATTTTTTTCCCGGTGTTATTAAAAATAAAGACTTTTGAAAAGGACATGGCGTAGAAAGTGACGCGTACTGCTTTGAGCTTTAAGCGTGCGCTATGATAATCATATTTAAACTAACAACCGTGTTGAGTCTTTCTTTGTGTTACAAACAACAACGAAAACAACAAATTGGTTGGTTCATACTTAAGCTGTGCGCATAACCACGTTAACACGAAATTGCGGTGGTTGTCTTGTGACACACAGGGATCCCACACTCCATATCTGACAGCTTCCTTTGTATATTTTCAGTGGATGTACATTCTAGCTGGAATATTTGGACTTATAGCCTTCATAGCCGCATTTGTGTTTGATCTTATTCAACTTCATCCCGGTGGACGTACAAGTGGTTTGTGGAGTTAACGAACGTTTTTACGATGTAGTTAGCATCACCTTGCACTCGAGTAGCTGACCAGATGTTTAATGCCTTACTTAAAGAAGTTGTTCCGAAAAATCTTAAAATACCTGTGAATATAGCCTTCTCTCCTCTGTCAGGGTGCAAGGAGAGCCTCATGGGCGGTTCCGGGGGGGGGGACCGTCTCCACTTTAGACGCGAGAGGGTAACTTTAGCAAAGACTTCTGGGATTGTTACAGGGGACAGGGAAGGAAAAGTTGACCAATAGCTCACTGGCGCTTTCGCACACACGATCCCAGAATTTTTTTGAAGAAGGCAATTTCTACCAAAATTCCCGTATTTGCACATTACCAAAGCACGTGTGTATAATATTATATAAATATTATACGTGTGTAAAATATTATAGAATTGTTTACATGTAACTGAAAAATTGCCAGACACATTTTATAATACGAATTAGTTGCGTCATTGTTGTACTGTTGTTTTCTTTAGATTGTGTCTTCGTTTTAAGACTTCATACGCTTTTGCTCCAAAATCTTTCATTTTTGCAAAGAAATTTTTGTCCTTTACTGACCCTGCGTCACTTTCGTACAGCATTTGTAACATTCAATATACGCGGTATGGAGAAGCAGCTTGAACAAATTCTGCGAGAATTCACGCATGGGAATTACCGCACGCGGGAGGTTCTGCGCGGCTTTGTTCTCATTCTCGTGTGTGTTACTGCTTTAGACAATTGTTGCCTTAGACTCGTTCTGTATGGTTAGTATTTTATCCTATAAGGGGCGATTCAAGCAAAGCCTAATATTAATTAATTTTATAACGGTTTTGCATGTTACTGTGAATGAAGCTTTTATTGCTAAATTGAACGTCAGATGAAAAAATATAAAATATAAATCACTTATCGTTTTCTGTATTAGTGTATATTTAGAATAATTCTTTTCGAATAATCAACCCACGTTGGTGTTTCATTTTTCGCTCGTAGCCTCCAGAAACTTATTATAGCGTTTACATATTCGTGTTATCAGCGGCTGTGTTATTTTCCGCGAAAACAGAAAGTGTTTACAAAGTGAACAGATTGGTGTGGAACAACATTATGGAGGCCATTTCATCGTTTTAGTACACCCATGAGAAAAACGCTTTATTGATTTTTGGGAACTTGGCCACCTTCGCATCCGCAACGCTTCTGATTTCGGAGAGGAACTTTGCGAGACGACCCATTCAGATTCCAGTCTCTGCTCTCCCCTCCCCCCTCCCCCCTACTCTGTTGCAATTTCCTCTCTTCCAACCCCTAAGGAGGACCTTAGATTGATGTTCACAGACAAGAACCATAGAGAGCTTTAGATTTGAGGACGAAGACGAGTACGAGATTTAACTTAAAAGTTTTTTTCGTGTATTCTCGAAAATATTCCACCCGGAAAGCTTCATTGTACTATTTTCCACCTAAAAAATTACTGCGGTTATTTTTTTGGGGGGAGGTTTAGCCCTTTCCCGGGCGCAAAATGATTAAACGTTTTAAGTTTGATAACTCGTTCCCCCCACTACGACATTCTCACTAAAACTCATAGTAGAATGACGACGACTATCACATTTTCCCGCCAAAATGACGTTGGTTCACGCAAGCGCACTACTTAGTATTGAGAAAATCTCGTACTCGTAGTCGTCCTCGTCTCAGAATCTAAAGCTCTCTAATATTAAAAAATCCCAATCACGGAGTAGGGCATTGACGTCAAATAATAAATAAATCACTAAAATTCAATTTGCACTCATTTTGTACTACGTGTATCAAATTCATTACCCAGACACCAACACGAGGGGCAGTCGAGGCCAATTTGGAGGTGCCTAGATTCGTAGAGTGTTTGATATAGCTTGTCATGGGCAATAAATCTTGAAACTTTCAAGAAGAACTTTGCATGACCCATGATTTGTCCGCTCTCCAAACTTCGTTAACAAGAATGATTTCCTTTGTTTTATCTCATAAATTAATAATGAGTGAGAAGTTCCATTCGAAAAGTTCCTGCACTGGCCACTTGACACTCCGGGTGTGCCGCAAATTTTCCTTCGAAGCACTGCGGATCTTACGCTAGGTACCAGGGGCTTTTTTCTCACGTGCGTCGGGATGCTTCGGTGTCGGCTGCCTAACGAGCGGCGGACGGAAGTCTCCGGTACTTTCAACAATTATACAAACGATTCAGGCATATGCACTATCCGCTGTTGGCTCGAGTAGCGCGAGCTTACACTCGGGGTACTGGATACGGGTGTGAAATAATCTCTGCTGTATGGTAAGAGATCAAATCCCGCTTCTAAGTAACCATTATGATGGCATGTACAAACAGGTGAAGTGTCCACTGTCACGAAACTGTAACTATAAGGGTCATTCGCAGTAGAGGACAGAGGCTTATCCTCCAATAAGATTCCTTCATCTAGGTAGTTAAATTGATAGTGTGGCCTCGAACAAGGCATTTTCTTTTTCCTTCTCCGGCGCGTGCGTGGTGTAGCGAGTCCACTGGTCAGTGTTGAAACATCGGCGCTCACTGCTGTAGATGTTTCAAGATCGAATCCGCTGTTATGTTTGCCTAATGGCACTGCTGATCCGTTACTCATGGTATTTTTGGTATACTTGTTAGCTTTCATTCCTTCTTGGATGATTTGTTCGTCAATGTTGCTTAGAAAATGAAGAAAGCAGGAGAAGAAATCATTATGTGGTTTTCAGAAAGCCAACTGCCTCGTACTCTTCCGCGCTTTGGACCGATTACAAGCGCGGGAGAAACGCGCTTTGGTTCATTTTCTTGTTGGCGTTATTTATGTAAAAAAATTCTCCCAGATTTCCGATTTGGAAGAAAGTATTCCTTTTTAATGATTGTAATGTTATATCAGGAATATGGTAATCATGGCTTTGGAAGTCAAGAGGGAGACTTTTCTTCAAAAGCAGGGCAATTATTTCAGGGATTCTCAGGCCGCGGGATGCAAGCAGCGGAGCTCGAGCGCAAGCGAGAGTGCAGGGGAAGGAACACGTCTATCACCTTCTCATGCAACTGATTTTTTCTCCCTTTCAAACGCCTGCAGCGTAGCCTACAAAACTGTTTGCGGTCAGTTTTTCTTGCGAAATAACCTTTTTTGCTCAAGAATCAGGACGACGAGATGAAGCGGTGCGCTAGGGCACCCGAAAAAAAAACCTTTCTTCTCTCGCGCAAATCCCTTTCTGTTAACCGGCCAGGTTTAGCGAAAAAGCTCGATAGCCTGCAATCAGCCTACGGACATGTGCCTATGGAGATTTCACGTAATGAAAGGCACACTCCGGCTCCCGCTACTGAATTTCCTTTTATTTATTTATTTATTTATTTATTTATTTTTTTTTTATTCAGCCAAATTCAGTCCGAACTATCAACAGTTTTAGTACAATTTTTTTTAAATACCTCCGAAGATGCCTGTCGTATGCCATGAACATGACAGCTAGTAACCATAACAACAGGAAGAGAAGAGGAATGACTATCAAGGCGACTGCTTCACCGCCTGACACCTAGATAAACAAACAAAACAAACATTCTCTTAGGTTGGTTAATACCACGTAATAAACAAGTAAATAGACATATCGCATGGTTTGGATGTCTCGAGGGTTACCTTAAGGATCCGTACGACGTCCTCAAAGTTGTCCGGATCAAAATAACATGAGAATGTATTGTTAGGCTGCAAAGAACAAAGTATACAAGAAAGATTATTTCATAGAAAGTGCTTTTAAAACAGGAGAAGTCAGAGACCACTAGCAGGCTTCATATCAGCGCATGTCCGAGTGCGCTCTTAAGATTTGTCAAGCCTGCGCATAAAGATGATTTTTAAAATCCAGCAAGGGGAATCACATTTTGCCAAGAAACCGTTGACAAATTGTGTTAAGTTTTACGGTCAGGTAGTAATCTGCTCCTGGTTTTACAAGGATCAGAATAACATTCTGGAAAGCCGCTTACCTACCCTTCCCCCTCTAGACCTCAATTTGGGCCAAATGACGGGTTAGGGGAGGGGAAGGTACAGTCTCTCGAGATGGTCGCAAGGAGGAGCGAACGACTGAGCTCTCCCCAGTCCTGCCAAGCATCTACTCAACCAACTGAAATGGGATTCCCCCAGCCTCCTCCTCAGGCGCTTCGTTTTTCGTACAGAAGCGAGTAAGAAACGCGAGTGAGTGATGACGAAGCGCAAGGGTCCATGGGAAGCAGTTCTCCTTCCCGCCTTCCTTTGCGCGCAATGTCATCGAATGAGAGACGTCTGGGTACGCGGCAGGGACTCTAGACCCTCTTTGATACCAGAGGAAAATAATTTCGCGCTAATGATTGGTCATTGGCTTCTACGCAATGAAAAATTACAAGGCCTTTTTATTGGGCGACAATTTGGACTCAAGAGCAATCCCAAGCTCTTCTCTACAGCGCAAAACTGAGGACAAGGCCCTTCGCCGCCAAAACAGAACAGAGGCTTTGGAGTCGAGAATGGTTTAGTACGTTTTGCCAGCTGTTTGACCAATAATCTACTGCTCACCGTTCCGTAAAAATTCAAGTAAGTTGTGTAGCAATCTTGAGCTGATAAATCTGAATCCCAAGCACACTTGCTGTATCTTCCAAATAAGTCACTGCTGCCAAACGTGAAGGAACACTTCAAGAGAACATGAAAGAAAGAACCAGCTTGAGACATGAGGTAAGGTGAACTACTTAGGTGTAAATACAGTAATATGATGTAACCATTAAGTCAAAACCTTTCCCACAAGCACATTTGTAGCCTAGCCTGCGAGCAAGTCTCTATTCCATTTGGCCGTGCGCGGCGAGCCGCACGAGAACGCGAAAGAACGACGAAGGCGCGAAGGGCTTCTCCTTTCGCATGGCGCCCGTGCCAAAGTGTGTGCGCGACTTTTCACGATATTCCCGAAACGGAGAGTTTGCTCGCAGGCTAGCACATTTGTTATTGAGTTCTCTTACAAATTTTGTCTGCACTTTCGATTATGTGCTTTCTTAGGACAGAAACGTTTGAAGAAAATGGGCTGATTACTGCTAACGTAAAATACTTTGTCGAGGTTGACTGTCGTGCGCATAACATCTTATCTCCAAAACGTAAATTCCCACTCAAGATTCTCTAAGGGGAATAGCTACGGTTTCTGAAGTGGGGTGCTAGATCCAGTTCTCCTACCTTTTCACAGTGAGACAAGGCTTGTTCGTTTTCCATAAGGACAGCCTCAAAAGCTGCTGTTTTGTTTACTCTGTAGGTTACCTGTGGAAAGTAATCATCATCTGGTAAACTAATTCTCCTTTTTAATAACTCCACTAATGGTCTATAACATATTAGAAGGGGAGACACTTGTATTATTTATCCAAAAAGCAATGATGAAAGTAGCAGACGAACAAATTTCTGATCCAAACTGTATTTAGGACGCGTGCAACACACAAAATCTCCTTCACTCGCTATCAGTTCTTCACTTTCCAGTAGGCTTTCATGAGGTTTTGCGTGATTGACGAAACCGCAAGACGAGATGTCTCGCACTAGCCTGAGTGGCAGCCGTTTAAAAGGGAAGAGACAGGGGATTTCGGGCGCGTGAGAAGCGATCTCGCGCCCAAATTCTCTTCCGATCCTTTTCGAACGCCTGCCACGCAGCTAGTCTCGCACTTGCAAGTCACTCGCGCAAAACCCGAGGTGAAAACCTACAGGGAAGCAACTCAAAACCCAAAACGAGAGCCTCCGGGTTTAGTTAACGAACGGGCAGCACTCGAGCCGTTCCCTTCTCAATTGTTCTACGACTGCCTCTCTTTGTTTATCAACTCAGATGACAATAATCAAATTGTTATAACATGATCAGTTACTTACTATAATTTTTAAGCAGGGAACAAACTTGTCCGTTCTATGACTGCACGATCCCTCCTCTAACATCTCTGTCCGATTCACACGGCATTGTGTGGATACTAAGCCTTTTCCTGATTTTATTCAAGCGATAAAATAAACATCAGCTTTACAAACAGATTTCAGTTAGTCTTGGTCTTGCCTATTACAGATGAGGGGCGGATCGGAGGGGTATCCAAGCAGGGCGGATAAAGGTTGGGCGGTGAAACGAGCGCTCCGCTCTTCATTTAATGTGTGATGCGGAGTAGGACTGGCACGAGCGCTCTTTCCGCGCTTCCGGTGCGCTTGAAGGCCGGCGAAATTTTCCTTTTTGCAAACCGGAAATCCTATTTTCTTTCGGTAATTTCAGGCTACAATGTTAAATAGATAAATTCGTTTCATAACAATATCAATAAACAGTTTCATATGTTTGTGTCTGTACGTCTAGAAGTCAAACTTGTTAGTCGTATAATGCCAAAATTTGAGTTTAATTTGAAAGTGTTGAATACCTCCTCCTTCCACTAAATATCACCTAATCGTCTTTCGCCGTTTCGTTTGCAAAAGCTTAACACTTCTTAACCTCAATTTTTACATATGTTAAAGGGGGATAAATTTTATATAACATAACAGAAAATTAGATTGATATATATTGATATAGTGGCGTTGTACTTCTTCAAACTTTGCTTCTCGGGTGCAACGCGCCATGGCGATTCGCGCAATGCGTTGCAAATCCGGCAACCGCATGTAAACAAAATTTATTGAGGTTAGTTGTAAGGTTTTTTCTCCGTTTTTCTCTCTAAAACAAAACAAGGTAAACAGTAAAAACTGAGGGGAAACTAATTTTGAAGTTTCGAAGAAACAGAAAGACGTATGAGATGTTTTTTTCAAAATTAAAAAGAAGGATGATGGTGATTGAAATTAGCATAATTTCACCTTGCACGAGCTGCACGCATTTATAAAATACACGTCATCTAGTTATGAAACACGATCTGCTGTCTTTTAGTTTTGCCATGGATGACATGGATGAGATTTTCCTTCGTGTTTTAGACAGTACTTAGTTGTTTTTGTTTTGGAATAACATCGACATTGGCGAGTAGCAGAACGAAAATATAATTCAGTGGTAGAGTCATGGAAGTAATAAAAGAAACCCTTTGAAAGAGATGTTTGTCGACTCCAACTAAACCTCCCGCAAAAAATAGCAACATTTGCCTCTCGGAGACAGCGTACCAGCACAAAGGAACGAGGAAGAAGAGCAAGAAAATAAATCAAGCTGCCATAATTCAGTGACAGCGGCAATATCTAATGTACAAACCACATCACAAGCCCTGACCGAAGTCGAAAACAAGCGACATTTCTAAGCAGAGTCCCAGTCCACTGCATCACACCTTTTTGCTCGGACGCGCTCGTTTCACCGCCCAACCTTTATCCGCCCTGTATCCAAGCGTGCCCGCCCCCCTCCCCTCACATCTTACCCCACGGCAATATCTGAGCTGGTCAGCAAGTCACGTTCCTCACAGGCGGCGATTTTCACGCGCGCTTGAGTATTTCGCTAGCTCTGTGGAAAATGGGGGATTCGTAGCCTACAGCGACACAAGACCAGAAATATGGGGCGCGAGATACACGATAATCATGAGCAAGGGGGACACACAAAAGGATACTAACACAACAACCAGTAACGAAAAAGCAACTTGAGTTTGTGTAGCCTGTTCACAGAAACTCTATTTTCTCTTTTGAGATGATCAAGTGCGCGAACGGAAATAAAACCCGGGCGGGGAATTTTTTGACCGCAAGCACAAGGGAGTGGGGGGTGGGGAAAAGAAAAAAAATAGACGAACGTTCAAAAAGGAATCCAAGACAGACTTGGACTCTGAATGCCACGTCACGGATTCCGGATTCCAGGAACTATTATAGATTCCAGCCTTTTTCAGCGGAACTTGGATATTGGATTCCAATCGTTAGTGGGATTCCGGATTCTTTGAGATGTATTCCGCATTCCAAAGCCCAAGATTCCAGATTCTACAAGCAAAAATTTCCCTGATTCCGGAATCCGATTCCCCTTACATGGGGCGATCTCCAGCATGACAAGTTTTCGTTGACAGAGGGAGCCGTGCTGATGTGCATTTCGGCAACAAAAGCAGCGCGCTCCCTTGACCACTCATCATATTCAAGAACGAAGATTTGCAAGAGGAGCCGACAAACCAGGACAAGACGCGGTCTTGCTCCGAAACAGAACGAAACAGAAGTCATACAACCCATTTTGTACGGCCGGGGCAGGGTGTAAATCTCAAGTTGCTTTTTGATAAAGATCATTTTGTCGACTTAAATTGTGATAAAGGAACTGATACCAGTTCTAAAACTCTCGGCGATGTTGGAAGTTTGTGAACTAAAATTGGCTGTGAGAAGTTTTAGGACTTCGGTCAGGTTAGAAGACGATGCTCAGGCCGTGGTGGTAAATAAACTCGAAATAAACTAATCGCAAGAGGAAAGCCAAATTCAAACAGACATGATCGTAGACGTTAATTATTTCGAGAATAAATCCCTCTTTACAGTGTCTTTATGCAAGCCGCTTATTAAAACAATATGGTCGTTCTTTCTAAGAAAACGGGTAGAATAACAAGCGAATAACAGAAACACAGCTTTACTCGACAGCATATGCCTAGCATATTATAATCGAACAAGATTAGAAGTCAGGTTGCTTCTCAAAAAGGCAGTAACGACACTAACGCTTGTACTTTCGCTAGCATTCGTTTGTACATTAATTGTACAAAATCGCTGAACATGTAGAAATCAAGGGCTCCCCGAAGCGTCGATTTAGCTTATTAAAATATCCATTGTTTTCACACAATAACGTTACACTAAAAGGCAAAGATGACTTGATATTCCTGTGAGATAGCACGATTGATTTCCTCTCGACGGATATTTAATATATCAACTTGATGGGAAATTTCAATAGTACACGCGCCTCTACATGTACAGTAACACTGATTTTGAACAGCGCTGTTGGCATTACGCGTGATCCTTGCCCGAACTTAACCTTAAGTGACTACACAACGTAGAAATTTTGCATTTTGGATGAAACATAACGTTGCAAAATGGAACAGATGGATGTAAGGGTCACAGTGGTTTAGGAAATGACTGTTTTTTTGAAATTGCGCTGACCCTTATAACTGATGAGGTGTCCGAGTTCTATATAGAAATGTCCGCTAAGTGAATTTTGAACTGTGTAGACTTAATCTCGTCGTAAATACACCTCGAACACTTTATGCAAGATTAAAGTCAACACAGTCAGCACTTGGCTGGGTTATTACCCTACAAATTGCGGGAATGTTTACAGTGCGATATACTCGGTTGTCTGCCATAAGCGTTTTTCGCACGCGCGCCGAACAAAGCACACAGACTGACTCTGAATAAAAATTCTCTTACCTTGAATATATGGCTGAACCACATAAATACCGATCAATATTAGCAATATGAAGATTATTATCACACAGGGAAGACAAAAACACAGCGGACATCGAAGTCTGTCGGCAATATCTTCCCTTAAGAGTTCATATTTACTCATTCGCGTTCGACGTTCAGTTCGTATGTCATCCTTCTCCCACTTCGACAGACGTTTAGGCGCTTGAGGAAGCGTATCGGGACGAACAAAACTCGCCATGTTAAGTTCGCTCCCCAACGANATCTCGTCGTAAATACACCTCGAACACTTTATGCAAGATTAAAGTCAACACAGTCAGCACTTGGCTGGGTTATTACCCTACAAATTGCGGGAATGTTTACAGTGCGATATACTCGGTTGTCTGCCATAAGCGTTTTTCGCACGCGCGCCGAACAAAGCACACAGACTGACTCTGAATAAAAATTCTCTTACCTTGAATATATGGCTGAACCACATAAATACCGATCAATATTAGCAATATGAAGATTATTATCACACAGGGAAGACAAAAACACAGCGGACATCGAAGTCTGTCGGCAATATCTTCCCTTAAGAGTTCATATTTACTCATTCGCGTTCGACGTTCAGTTCGTATGTCATCCTTCTCCCACTTCGACAGACGTTTAGGCGCTTGAGGAAGCGTATCGGGACGAACAAAACTCGCCATGTTAAGTTCGCTCCCCAACGAACACCAATATCCAACGTTTGTCTCCTAAGACAGAAGTTGCATGGTACAATCACTACAGAGATGTAGAAATTAGGTATTCATAGCGCGATCTGTCATTTACGCGAAGTGCAGTCAATTTATGAAGTACTTGAAAGGTCTCAAAATGCAAACATTTCATTGGCGAATGGTGTAATGATTAATCGCCCAACACAAACAAAAATTTAAAATTTAAATTAGTTGAACTGCAGTGGTGTCACCATTCCATTTATAAGGCAGTCTTTTAACTGTTTTTGTTACTAATGAGTTTTTTCCTGTACCGTATGGCTTTTTAGTATCACTTGAAACTTGTCATTGATTTATCTTTTGAAGTTCCTTATATTATACCGAACCAACAAAGTATCGTAAGTTTAATAACCTCAAGGTCCATTTAACTGCAGTTATCAAAAAGTTAATTAAAATCTAAAATGATCGTGCTTAAAATGAACGAAACAAAGAAATTAAACGCGTAACACTAAACTTTTAATCAATATACCTCAAAACAAATTATCTAAAAAAACTATCCTAGTAAGGTACAACGGCTGTCTAAACAGCTGTTACACAGAAAAAAATAAAATTATTGTACCATCCGCTTATTTTATGTTTTGATATCGGATATTATATAGTAATATGATATTAAATATGGTTGACTTTATATTGAGTTTCCCGGGAAAAAGCTCTGGGAAACAGCTTGTCACAGCGTTGCTCAGTAGTGATTATGCCCATGTAATGAGAGCAATGTCGGTACACTATAGGAATCATATATGAAGTACCTACCAGACGAAGACTGTGGCAATATTTCGAACTTAATTTCGATGAAATAAAATCACACTTGGCACCGTTGGCGCCGAGGCATCGCAGAATAAGCTAAAAGAGTTGTCTGGAGGCTTAGGGTGAACAAAACATTTCTTTTGCCGTTTTATTCCCGCAAGTCTCGGAGCGAAGTATGCAAGAATTTAAATATATCAAAATTGGTCTGCAACAAAACAAGAAAGACCCTTTTTAGTGCATTGCAAATTAATTTAACGGGACTTTTATGGTCGCCCCATTTGAGGGAATCCTGAAGACAGTCTTGGATTCAGGATTCCACGCCGTGGATTTCGGATTCCAGTTACTCAATTCCGGATCCTGTTACCGGATTCCATGGTCCAGTTTTTGGAATTTAAAGTCCAGGAATCCCTATCCCACAAGCAAAAATTTCCTGGATTCCGCAGGCAAAAATGGAAACGGGCTTTGAGAAAGTCACACGCAGCACATGCTATTCACCATACATGACATATCTACCAAAGCATAGGCTTACATTCGAAAAAATCCTTTCAGTTGCTGTGTTGTCAGTTTTTTGAGACCAAGTTATTTTCAAGTAATATTAGTACATTTATCACACATCTGTTTTAACATAAATGTTGGACATAACTCAACAAAGCTTTTCCGGGGAGGCTCCGCGCCGAGACCAAACCCCTTTCCCTTTTCTAATACTATTTTTGACAGTTCGTATCACGGCCCCATACTGACAAATGCTACCGGGCTTTGCGCGCAGTTCAACGGCTATAAATGCACTTTCCTTCCAGGCTTGGGGCGGAATATAGGCCCTTATAGGGAGATACCCCTTCCGCCTGCTCAGCCGAAACGAAGAACTTTGTACTTTTAAAGAGTTGGTTTTATTATTCTGATTCCTGATGATCACATGACTAATCACATTTCAGACATAAGCATAATGGTATTTCATCATAGTACCGTAAAGTTCCCAAAGTAACGATCGCGACCCCCCGAAAGTAGCGACCCTTCATAAGAAGCGATAAAATTTCACAGGTGTTAGCAAATGCCAAAAGTAGCGACCCTCCAAAAGTAGCAATAGGAAAAGACTTTTAAATCCGAAAGTAACAAGGGTCGTTACTTTCGGAACTTTACGGTATCACGTGACGTCATGTAATCAGTATGAACATGTAAAAGCAGAAAAGTAAAAAGTTAGGCTCCTGTTCATGTTCACGGTTATGTCACCATGATGTCTCAAAGTGTGAACTAGCATTAGTCACAAGGTAACAAGAACTATGGAGCGACTCTGTCCGTTTGACCTTGAAATTATTGCCCACCACTGAAAACCGAAGACAAAAAACGAAAAAGGATATAAGAATTTGTTTGGTTTATCGATGAAAAAAAAGACAGGCGGCTCCTGAAGAAAGATTACTGAAAACTAGTTTTCCCTACCTTGCAGAACAATAACTGGGCTGTCGACTGGATTGAACCGCTGGATTGAACTGTGATTTTTTTCCTCATCTAAATGCTTTTTTCGGCAGGAAAACGAAAAGCCCAAGTTTTGATCTTTTCACCGATCTATTGGACGATAACAAATAAGGAAAACTTACGTAAACCATTAGTTTAAGTTCAAACGAAAAAAGCTCTAGTTTACAATATAAAATATGCGTCAGTATGACAGAACAGACGAGAAAAGTGACTAACAGACTGCGGGGCAGCTGGAATAGGCCGTTTTAGGCCGGCAGTCTGTTTTAACCTTTCGCACGCGTACAAGGCCGCCATGCACGAAAATTTGCCAACCAATGTATTACATGGAGACAACCTGCGCGTAAAAATGAATTTTACAAATCCTCGCAAGACGTATTGTATTTCAAACTATTGATTTTCTAATAGAAACTTTCTCATTTATGTGTTGTCTGGCTGATAGCATACCGCCTTTTTTGGCCGAAAAATATGTCTACAAACAGTGACTTAAAGCGTTTACGGGTGGTTGCAAAAATCGACCAATAGACAGTAAGCAAGTAAAAATGTTCGTTTGTAAACGACGCCCCGGCCATAGTAGCCTAACACGTACCAACCAAAATATTCTGGAATTTTCTTTTTTTACACCACTGCCATGAACGTGCATCAATTCTTCGCGTTTAATGGTGTCATTTGTTGGCTAGCCTATCTGACATAAAGATCGAAAAAGAAAGTTTTCAGCAAAACGGTATCTTGTTTTCTTTGCACACAGACAGCAGGTGGAGTAATTTAGTTTTAAGCATCGTTCGACAAATTTTTGGGCGTCAAGAAGATGGAAGAATGACAACGTACACAAAAACTTAATTCATAACAGCGTACGTAGGTATCTTGTCTTTTTATTTACTATAAGTCTAGTTCTGTCTTATTTATTTTATAATTGTTCTTTCCTTGGCACATCGAGAAGAACTCAAAACTGCAAAAGCTCGCAACGTGTTTTAGCTTGGAGTACAAAGAGATTTTTTCGATCAGAATACAATATAAACGGGTTTGGCTTGTGCTCACGGTACGGAAATAAAACTCAAAACCAAACTAATGATATCTACTTCAGACTGTTTCGCTTTCTTCAGGGCGTAAATCATTCTAACACGAGCTGTTAGATTAACCTGTTGCAGTTTATAGCAAGTATTGTACCAATATTTTATTATTTTAGTTAGCATATTATGATTGTGTTAAAAATGAATCATGTTTCAATCACACAAGTAATCGTTTTACACGTTTTCTGAAAAACAAGCCAAATAACTTCTGCTTTAACGCAGTAATATATTTTCTGGCACAGTTATAGCCACTGCTAGTCAAAAATATTTTCATTGACAGGTTATGAGATTCTAGTTAATTGAATTTACTTTAACTCTCGAAAATCATGTGAGTTAACGCTGTTTCCTTAAAGAACAGCAATGAAGGATTTTCTTTTCATCTATAAAAGCAAAAAATATGCTTAATCTGAGAGTAGCATTAACCCACTAAGATTAAAAATGAATTATACAATTCCTTGTTCTTTTTTCGGGAATTTTAATATTTATAATCATATAATCAGAAATTAAAATTACAGAAAATACAAACAAATGTTGCTCAATTTTAGTTTACTTGACAGTAACTATCGCATGGACATTTGTAGTTCCACTTGCAAATAATTCTTTTTGATTATTATGTCTTTTTAAAAGCATATTATCAATATCGCTAGATTTTTTTTCAGATTAATATTTATATTTATATAATTAGAAAATTCTAGAAAATGGCAACAAAAAAAGGACAGAGAAAGTTTTTAGTTGATTTTAGACATCTTTATTTTGTTGAACTGTGTCACACATACTCAAGCTATATTTTAACGGCGGTTTGATCATTGTCAGATTTAGAATCATCACTGCAATCATCGACAGGTAACTACATATTTAAATTTTAGCTCTAAGAAATATAGTAAGCAACAGTTTAGGGTCGACCGTTAAGAGCAACGAAACCGGTATAATTTGGCATGGCGTGGAATGTAACATCAATTTCCAGGTTTATTGTCCCTTTTTGCTGTATGGCTCTGGAATCTTGAATCTGTGGATAGGGTTATGCACCATTGAAATTATGAAAATAATGCCACTAAGCAAGGAACCTCGGGTCCTACAACTTTTGAGTTTGTGGATGAAATCCTTAAGTGTGACCATTTAATGAAAGCTACTGAGCAGTACTTTCCTGTGGTACTGTTTATTATGCTGTACAAGGTGGCTCTAACTTTTGAGTCTGTGGATGAAATCCTGAAGTGTGACCATTCAAATAAAAGCTACTGAGCAGTACTTTCCTGTGGTACTGTTTATTATGCCGTACAAGGTGGTTCTAACCTTGTGAGATAATCTTTTTTCTTTTACTTGCACAGAATGACCTCATACAGGTATGTCGCTGTCCATGACGATGATGACCCATTTGAACTCGATCGAAATCAGAACATTACCAAACGAACAGAAGTGCTTGATTTTAGTCAAACCAGGCTTTCCGACGATGACGATCGGGTGGAGACTCGGTCGACTGTAATCCATGTTCGATCCCAGAGCCTCAAGCACTTAAATGAACGAGTGGAAACTGGATCGATCTCTAGATCTAAAAGCCTCCGGGATGTAGACGCCTCAGGGGAATTTGCAAGCGTCAAGGCTCGAGTATCTTATGTTGATAGTTGGAATCCTGTGAACCCGGTCGGAAGGGGGAGGATCGCAGAGAGGGTCAAAAGCTGGGAGAATAATTTGGACGAGGAGGAAGCCGGCTCTTGGAAGGAAAGGAAAACATTCAGCTCAGATAACGGGATGGATCGACGAAAAGTTAGTTACAATGGAACGCGAGCGAGGGGCTTTGATTACTACTACGGATCAGGGGAGCCAGACTGCCGAGATGAGAGATACGAAAGTTATCAGTACAACCTTGACTCTGCAGAAAATTTGTATGGTTCCCAGGATGAGGTAAGATACTTGGTTTGTCCAATGCAAATAAGTGTTAGTTCTTACTTTGAAGCTTGTCCGGGTCTTCTTTTTAAAACATGCAAATATCGCACAGCAAATAAGTCTGCAAAAGGTTATCGAGGCAATGGTATGGTAAATTACTTGGGACTTATGTTTTATTCGATCAAATGCAAGTTTGTAATTTGAATTGTAATTTGTTTACCCACGAAGCATTTAAGAGTTTATGAAAACTCCGGCGTAGAAAAGTGTCCGTGCGCTCCAGATCAAATTGGAATTTGGAAGTTTTGGTTTTTAAGGAGGGGGGAAAACCGGAGTACCCAAAGAAAAACCTCTCGGAGCAAGGGAGAGAACCATCTCACCACTGCGCCATGCAGCTCTCCAACGTGCCACTAACAGAGTAGAATAGGGGGTTTGCTTTAGTGTTGGGGTACTATGCTGTGTCTACTGACGGTAAATCAGATATTACTGTAACCAAAACAAAGTTTCGTTAGATGCTACATCAAAACATTTTGTCATGTTCGATCTGGTAAAAACAGCTGCGAACAGTCAGAAGGATTAGATTGAGAAAAATGTGTAAACATATAAGCGCTTCCAATTTAATTTTAATAATTGCATAGCAATTTCATGAATCATCTGTAGGCGTCAAGCTCAGAAATAGATCTTCAGCATTTTGGAAGCTGAATTTAAATTTTATGTGTATAATACACAGCCGCGAAATTTTTGTCATGAAATTGGCATTTTTGCCCCTGATTGAAACCTTTTTCCAGTTTCTTGACTTGCCAAGAACAGAAAAAAATCGGCTTTGGAAATCTAAGGATCTGCTTTTCCCTCTTTTTTTATGGCGTTCCTTAACTTCACTGACGCATTTATTCAGTTATCTCTCCAAAAAAAGCGGCTTTTAAAAATTCGGAAATGTTACACCCCCCCTGAAAATAGATTATTCGTTTTTGTGTGGAACATCAAAAAGAAATTAACGATTAGACTTCCCATAATCCAGTTGAAAAGTATCCAAACCTTCCAACCATTACAGTGCCGGATCCAGACCATGGGATAAGGAGGAGGGGTGGGGGGGCGGTCTCCAAAGAAATTTTTCGGCCTTTCAGGCCTCAATTTGGTCTTGTTTCAATCACACAAGTAATCGTTTTACACGTTTTCTGAAAAACAAGCCAAATAACTTCTGCTTTAACGCAGTAATATATTTTCTGGCACAGTTATAGCCACTGCTAGTCAAAAATATTTTCATTGACAGTTTATGAGATTCTAGTTTATTGAATTTACTTTAACTCTCGAAAATCATGTGAGTTAACGCTGTTTCCTTAAAGAACAGCAATTAAAGATTTCTTTTCATCTATAAAAACGAAAAATATGCTTAATCTGAGAGTAGCATTAACCCACTAAGATTAAAAATGAGTTATATCGTTCCTTGTTCTTTTTTCGGGAAATTTAATATTTATAATCATATAATCAGAAATTAAAATTACAGAAAATAAACAAATATTGCTGAAATTTTAGCTTACTTGACAGTAACTATCGCATGGACATTTGTAGTTCCACTTGCAAATAATTCTCTTTGATTATCATGGCTTTTTAAATCCCAGAATTTGAAAACATATTATCAATATTGCTCGATTTTTTTTTTTCATATTAATATTTATTTTATAGAATCAGAAAATTCTAGAAAGTGTCAACAAAAAAAGGACAGAGAAAGTTTTTGTTTGATTTGTGACATCTTTATTTTGTTGAACTATGTCCCACATCATATACTCAAGCTGTACTGTAACATAGATAAATTTCCTCACGGGGAAGAACGTTTTTAACAGCGGTTTGATCATTGTCAGATTTAGAATCATCATCTCAACCATCGAAAGGTAACTACATATTTAAATTTTAGCTCTAAGAAATATAGTAAGCAACAGTTTAGGGTCGACTTTAAAGAGCAACGAAAGCGGTATAATGTTGGCATGGCGTGCATAAGGAATGTAACATCAATTTCCAGGTTTATTTTCCCTTTTTGCTGTATGGCTCTGGAATCTTGAATCTGTGGATACGGTTATGCACCATTGAAATTATGAAAATAATGCCACTAAGCAAGGATCCTCGGGTTCTATAATTTTTGAGTCTGTGGATGAAATCCTAAAGTGTGACCATTCAAATGAAAGCTACTGAGCAGTACTTTCCTGTGGTACTGTTTATTATGTTGTTCACGGTGGTTCTAACTTTTGAGTCTGTGGATGAAATCCTAAAGTGTGACCATTCAAATGAAAGCTACTGAGCAGTACTTTCCTGTGGTACTGTTTATTTTGTTGTTCACGGTGGTTCTAACTTTTGAGTCTGTTGATGAAATCCTAAAGTGTGACCATTCAAATGTAAGCTACTGAGCAGTACTTTCCTGTGGTACTGTTTATTACGCTGTACAAAGTGGTTCTAACTTTTGAGTCTGTGGATGAAATTTTAAAGCGCGACCATTCAAATGAAAGTTACTGAGCAGTACTTTCCTGTGCCGGGTACTGTTTATTTTGCTGTACAAGGTGGTTCTAACTTTTGAGTCTGTGGATGAAATGATGAAATCTTTAAGTGTGACCATTTAAATGAAAGCTACTGTGGTACTGTTTATTATGCTGCACAAGGTGGTCGCAAACATTTGAGTCTGTGAGATAATCTTTTTTCTTTTTCTTGCACAGAATGACCTCATACAGGTATGTCGCTGTCCAGGACGATGATGACCCATTTGAACTCGATCGAAATCAGAACATTACCAAACGAACAGAAGTGCTTGATTTTAGTCAAACCAGGGTTTCCGACGATGACGATCGGGTGAAGACTCGGTCGACTGTAATCCATGTTCGATCCCAGAGCCTCAAGCACTTAAATGAACGAGTGGAAACTGGATCGATCTCTAGATCTAAAAGCCTCAGGGATGTAGACGCCTCAGGGGAATTTGCAAGCGTCAAGGCTCGAGTATCTTATGTTGATAGTTGGAATCCCGTGAACCCGGTCGGAAGGGGGAGGATCGCAGAGAGGGTCAAAAGCTGGGAGAATAATTTAGACGATGAGGAAGCCGGCTCTTGGCAGGAAAGGAAAACATTCAGCTCAGATAACGGGATGGATCGACGAAAAGTTAGTTACAATGGAACGCGAGCGAGGGGCTTTGATTACTACTACGGATCAGGGGAGCCAGACTGGCGAGATGAGAGATACGAAAGTTATCAGTACAACCGTGACTCTGCAGAAAATTTGTATGGTTCCCGGGATGAGGTAAGATACTTGGTTTGTCCAATGCAAATAAGTGTTAGTTCTTACTTTGAAGCTTGTCCTGGTCTTCTTTTTAAAACATGCAAATATCGCACAGCAAATAAGTCTGCAAAAGGTTATCGAGGCAATGGTATGGTAAAAAAATTGGGACTTATGTTTTGCTCGATCAAATGCAAGTTTGTAATTTGAATGGTAATTTGTTTACCCATGAAGCATTTAAGAGTTCATGAGAACTCCAACGTTGAAATGTGTCCGTGCGCTCCAGATCAAATTGGAATTTGGAAGTTTTAGTTTTTAAGGAGAGGGGAAAACCGGAGCACCCGAAGAAAAACCTCTCGGAGCAAGGGAGAGAACCATCTCACCACTGCGCCAGCTCTACAACGAGCCACTAACAACAAAGTAGAATAGGGGGTTTGCTTTAGTGTTGGGGTACTATGCTGTGTCTACTGACGCTAAATCAGATATTACTGTAACCAAAACAAAGTTTAGTAAGATGCTACATCAAAACATTTTGTCATGTTGGATCTGGTAAAAACAGCTGCGAACAGTCGGGAAGGATTAGATTGAGAAAAATGTGTAAACATAAAAGCGCTTCCAATTTAATTTTAATAATTGCATAGCAATTTCATGAATCATCTGTAGGCGTCAAGCTCAGAAATAGATCTTCAGCATTTTGGAAGCTGAATTTAAATTTTATGTGTATAATGCACAGCCGCGAAATTTTTGTCATGAAATTGGCATTTTTTCCCCTGATTGAAACCTTTTTCCAGTTTCTTGACTTGCCAAGAACATAAAAAAATCGGCTTTGGAAATCTAAGGATCTGCTTTTCCCTCTTTTTTTATGGCGTTCCTTAACTTCACTGGCGCATTTATTCAGTCATTTCTCCAAAAAAAGCGGCTTTTAAAAATTCGGAAATGTTTCACCCCCCCTGAAAATAGATTATTCGTTTTTGTGTGGAACATCAAAAAGAAATTAACGATTAGACTTGCCATAATCCAGTTGAAAAGTATCCAAACCTTCCAACCATTACAGTGCCGGATCCAGACCATGGGATAAGGAGGAGGGGTGGGGGGGCGGTCTCCAAAGAAATTTTTCGGCCTTTCAGGCCTCAATTTGGTCTCCATAATCCAGTTGAAAAGTATCCAAACCTTCCAACCATTACAGTGCCGGATCCAGACCATGGGATAAGGAGGAGGGGTGGGGGGGCGGTCTCCAAAGAAATTTTTCGGCCTTTCAGGCCTCAATTTGGTCAATTTGGTCCCCCGGGCCCCCCGGGCCCCTTCCCTGGATCCGCCACTGTCTTTTCAAGTCAAAGACATTTGTTATGTCACTGGCTTTATTTAAATAAGGCTTAGCTTCACTTAAAAGACGATTGAAAATTTACGCACTCGAAGATAAGAAGTTAACAGGGCAGGCAATGATGTTCACTTATTTTTTTCTATTTTTCGGGTTTTGTGAAAAGACGCAGAGTATCAATTGACTGTCAATAAGTATGCTGCCACACCGTACACGAAATTTTCAAGGTGTTTGTAAATATTACGCTCTCAATATTAATCCTGTTGTTGTTAAGAGTAACAGTTCTGCCCGGCATCTTATTTATGCAAATTTCTTAAGTATTTTATTTAAACAATTCACTCAGACCTTTTATAATGCAAATCTTTATTCAACAAGAAACAATTAAACAAAGACAAACAAGTACAAAATTTTACAATGCACTATGGCTTTAAAAATACTCCTAAGGATTACTTAACATTGTAGTCGAAAGCAAGCGACGTAGTTCTGCAGATTCCAGTCATTTTTCTCTTGGGAAGGGACACTGTTATTCCATGACAGTCCGTAAGTTTCCAGGAATCATAAAACCGACAAACCATGCAGCGCGCGAACTCTCGAAAAAGACCGACCCTCTCTCCACAGGGGTCCCGTTTGTCTGACCAAAAGAAGAGGGGGCTCTGGGCTCGCTGAGAGTTCTCGTTGGCTAAAAATAAATTTTAATCTAATTTACATAAGCAAACGTGAGAGTAACAGACCATAACAAATTGTAAGAAATTGTAAAACTACAAAGGAGTGGATTGGTACAATACGGTAGCCCTACATTCGTTTTCCCTTCAGTTTTAGTCCTATAAAGCAGCACTTGTCATAACTTGTCACGTCCTGCTTGTCATAATGAAGAGAGGAAAAGTCGGAAAGAGACATGCGCACATCTTTGTCAAGATCGTGGGCTACATTTGTCACCCAGTTCAGAGAAAACTATCCATTGTCACTTGGCTGATGGGTGATGATGAAGTTCTTTGACGTTAGAGCACGGGGATTCGCTTTCGTGATTACCAGTGCTCAGGTGAAAAGTTGAAATTAATCCATAAAAATACATAATGTTTACTTAATAAGTCGTTGTCCAATTAACCTTGCCCTCTAGTTTTATTTTCCGCTGATTTTTTACACGGCGATGAAAGATTATAACGGCAAAAAAAAAAAACAAAACATTAAACCAAGGATAAAAATGAATGAACACAACACTTTTAAAAATCCTGTACGTCGCGCTTGGTCGCGTTTTTCCTCGCGTTTTTGCGCGCGTTTTTGCGCCTGGTTCTTTCTCTCACTACATTTGACAAAAATTTTGTACTTATGGTCCACTGTATCGTTTAACTGTAACACTTTAATCATAAAAATAAAATATTATATTTGGCTTCATCTATTAAATCCCCCGCCATCATTAAATCAATGTCTATACGTCGCGGATCTCTAAAAACGTCAATTCCTCGATTGCAAAGTTCTAGATATTTCGTGAAACTATTCAATTCGACGGAACGTTGCCCTTTCAAAAGTATATTGGTATACTGAGCAAAGATTATCAAACAAAACAAATATACAAAGCTTTAAAGAAAAATCAAATCATTGTTTATACTGATCACTGCTTTAAAAGGTGGGCAACGAACTGAAAAATTGCTTGACCAACGCCAAGCCGAGATGAATGTATAAATTAATTTAAGGCGAGCACCGAAAACCCCATTTAAAACAGGCGCTTTGGGCTAGTATCCTTTTCGAGTCAATTATAACCGCTTATATTGAAAATTCTTTGCTGCTCCAATATGTCAGTGACAATATATCTACCGCATAGTAAAACAACAAATTTGTTTTCCATAAAAACAATCGCTGACCTTAGGGAAAGTGAAAACTGCTAAGAGACTGGTTATTGTGACGTCATGAATATTGTCGGACTTTTAAGGATGATAAATGAGCGCCTCGGAGCAAATACTTGCTAATATCACATAAATAAGTTAAGAGCTGTGAGGTCTGAGTTTGTTGTGCGGAGAAATTTGGTCTTTGGGAAGTTCGCAACAGCATCATGGCTAGGTCACTAAGAAACCTGTCGTGGAAAGGACAGAAAGAAGAGGTGGGTAATTTTGATTTACTTCGTTTCGACCCGCCCCCAATGACTTCCTCCACCAGCAGAATTGCGATGCAGTACTATGAAGTATATAGGATGCTAGTCTATCACAAATACAAAGCTCTGATACGATTCCGCAAACTGCATATTTGCTTAGTGTTCAGTGCAGACAAAAAAAGTAGCTAGATAAATTTGTTTTTCTAGCGGCGATTGCGGCGGGCAGGCTCGGTCGTGTAAAGACCAAGACATGAAGATCGAAACTATCAGATTTAATAGTGTTAATAACCGCTTGAACAATTTTCAACACGACCCCAGTTTGCCAATGCCAGCAGTCCAAAGTTACGCTATTTGAATTTTACAAAAGATACGATCATTTGGGAAAGAAAACTCATTTCAACTTATCGTATTTATCTGTTCATTTAGTTATTCATCATATCAGTACTTGGTTTTCCTTAAAGGCATTCACAACAAGAAATTGCGGTTGCCTCCCTTTAATTTTATGTAAATCTTTCTATTTTTTTACGTCCAATATCAATCTAGCGTTTTCTTTAAAAAGGTCACTGAGATAGGTTAAACTTAGGATGACAGGGTCTTTTTTTTGTTTTGTTATGAAAACTTACTTGATATACACCAAAAGATCAAAGGAAATCAAACCCAAAGGCACCATGGTTTTATTTTGCCTTTCACCCGATTTGGTCCACGTCAAGACCGGCAGAATAAAACTGTGTTTCCTCTAATAACAGCCGGGGCCATTTATATTTCTTTTTTCCCTCGCCTAGAGGTTTTTTTTCCACCTAGACGGTGCGATTATTCGAGAAACGGGAATTTTTCTTACCGCAAGTCGTGCCTTTGACGTTTGATCTTACTAGCCTCATTTTACAAAGGATACAAATAAACTAAACAGGGAATTCCTAAATTGTGGATTAAGGGAAGGGGCGGATATTCGAGGCTCCTTTCGATAAAGGTCAATCCTATATTTTCACCAACGGGGGTCGATTTTTCGAGGGGGCAGTCAATCGAAGTTATTGAGCGTGCTTTAATTAACCATAACGACGACGATAGACTACGAGCAGTCTCTCTTTTTCCTTAGTCCTTGGAGCGAAACGCGCGAGAAACGAAAATGACCACGCACGTGACGGAAGGCCCTCGTTTCTCGCGTTTCTGCCGCCCGACGCTCGCGCGCGCATACACTCCCTTCACCACATCTGAAGAAAAAGAGAAACTGCTCGCAGTCTATTCACAGGAGCCCACACAATCTGTGTGTGTAGCCAATTGTTATTCTATAGCAAAAGTACTGGATTTACCGTTTGCTTCACCTATAGCGATATATCGCTAAGTATGTATATAAATCTATGTTAAATAAACGTTGAATTACGTTACCTCCGATATGTTGACCGTCCTTTTGCCTAAAAAACGGGGTTTTTTTTAGCGATTTTGAAGGATCTTGAGTTCGACGTTCACTGTTCACTATGGCGCGTGTCCAGGATGAAATGTGATTAAACAGATCTGCTTTAATAGTTTCCTACTTTTTATAATAGGGACAACAAACGCTTATTATCTATTTACAAGGTCAACTAAATGCGTTATCAGGCG